CAGCTGCATGATCTGGAAAATTTAATAGTGTGGAAACCTCATTTCTCAATAATGTCAATATATGAGGTGTGACTGAAGAGCGGTACGTTCTATATGAGATTTGAAGTTGTTGGTTTTATATAAAATGATTAAAATAAATGAAATGATAGAAAAATGTGTTACCCCTGTAGCAGGAAAAATAAAGGCTTGGACACCTATCAGAACTTTAAATTGCACACATTTAAATGTGCATACGCATAAATCAGGAATGTAAGAGGCGGTAGGAATAGAATCTATACTGTAAAGAGCTGCAGGTTATATAGGCGGGACAAGTGGCAAGGTAGATGATATTGTGGCTCTGTCCACTTCTCGGTGTGATTCCTTCACACTGATAGAGGATTCACAAGCTAGCTGGCTAACAGATCAGCTGAGGTCTCGAACGTGAAACATATCCAAACACCAGTCTAAGTGACAGCAAAGTTTTCCACACACACACATGAAGGCAGGACTTTAGGTACAGGGAGTTCCCATATTAGATAATGCATAATTTGCTATTAAATAGCAAAGTTCTGAACCAAAAAGTACAATCTATAAGAATTCAACTGCTTCTGAGACTTCCTGAAAATGCTACATTAAAAATTTACAATTCTGAATCTGGAGAGTGGTTAAGAGTACGGGCTGCTCTTCCTGAGGTCCTGAGTTCAATTCCCAGCAACCACATGGTGGCTCACAACTATCTGTAATGGGATCTGATCCCTCTTCTCGTGTCTGAAGACAGTGACAGTGTAGTCACATACATAAAATAAATAAATAAATCCTTTTTTAAAAATGTACAATTCTGGTGATAAAAGCTTTAAGAGGTGACATACATTTTGAAAATATAAGAAATAACTATTTTCCTTTCCTACTTCTATTTTAGCTATTTAAGGAACAGCAGGTATATATGCATATGTGCATATATATAACAAGCTACATACAATAAATGATTTTATAGATTTATTTGAATTTTAAAATTACTTTTTTGTATTGCAATTCTTTCTCTTTTAACTGTGATCATATATTGTGGAATGTGGTTTTTTACCTTGGTTTTTGTCCCATAGAATTAAAGTCAAACTAGCATGAAAAAAATTAAATAAAATAAATAAAAAGAAAATATTAGTTCTTAATTTTCATTGAGGAAAATTCCTTCCATAGCTTAAGAAATACAAGAAAAACTAATTTTTAAATCCTAATATTTTTGCATTCATCCTTACTGAGGAGCAGTTGGGAATCTACTTAGCATATATGTAGTATAAAGTTATTTTCCTCTATCCTTCTCTCTTTCTCTTTCTTTCTCTTTCTCTTCGTGTGTGTGCAAAAACATCTTAATTACACAGAATAATTGCCTTGTATTGGTCAGCTTTCCATTATTAAAATTAAATATTTAAAATAATAAACATATAAATAGAAAAGAGTTATTTGGATTCGTGATTTTGTCAATTCCAGTCCTGGTCAAGTAGCCCAATAAATACCACTGGAGCCTTGGGTGAAGGAATACATTTGGTAAGGTCCTGTGGCTGAACCAAGTACCCAGTAGTCATGAATTAATGCATAGACAAACATTGGTAAAGGTCCAAATTTGGAGGCCATAATCCCAATCAAATAAGGATCTCTGACAAACTTCCTATCACCCCTTAGAGGCCTGGAGCACCCAGGGAAACGAAACAGTTCCATTCTGAAGGTCACACCTTTAACATATGGGGTTTTAAGGAGCATTTAACCTCAAAACTGTAACAGGACCTGAATAAGTTGTCTTTTTATTTTGGTCAATATAAAATTTTATATTTAGATTCAATAAAAATATTCCAAATGAGAAAGACCAAATATATCAAAGATTCTTCTGAAAAAAAACTTGAGATGTTAAATAACTAAGAACAACTTAATGTCCATTAAAATGCACCAGACTCCCCATCAAAAATAATAGTGATGTCAAAATATTAATTCAGATCATACAGCTTAGTAGAACAAGGGATAAAAAGAAATGTTTACAACATCCTACCTCCCACTGTAGAAAAAATAATTATAAGTAAAATAAAATTACAGTTGTAGAAATATTAAGTAATGTTCAAAATACTATCTTCAATTATCACTTAGCTTTGAAATGTATACCATTATCTAATGCAAAACAGATGGTTTATAGGATTCATTATATATGCATGTCCTATGCCTTCATTTTGTAAGTAGAACCACTAGCTAGATATTACGGGCCACACTTAAAATTCCATCACTTGCTAGGCTGAGATATAGGATCTATAAGTTCTAAATTGCCTATACTATAGAAGACATTGTAGCTCTAACAACAACAACAAAAATCAATGATCAAAACACCACTGTAGTCAGACTTTTTAAAAATACAATTCACCAGTGGCCAACAATTACTGTTAAGAAAATGACACAGATCTTTCTGACTTATTATTCGTTCTCTTAAAATAGCAGTGCATATAGAGCAAAACTTATTAAAATGATTCTCCTTAATTGTTCCATGGGATATTAATAAGTGCTATACATCTAAAACTCAGTTAACAAATAATTCTGAAGAAGGCCAGCTAAAAAAATTATTTTACCTACCCTTGAGATTTTTTTATGATGCACTTTTCTTTATTTTGCAAGGTTTTTCTCTTTCTGTTTTTTATTAGATATTTTATTTACATTTCAGATGTTATCCCCTTACCCCATTACCCCCTGCCCAGGAATCCCCTATCCTATCCCCCCTCCTCCTGCTTCTATAAGGATGTGCCCCATCCACCCCCCAACTCCCACCTCCCCATCTTCAAATTCCCCCACACTGGGCATCCAGCCTTTATGGGACCAAGGACCTCCTCTTCCACCTATGCCCAACAAGACCATCCTCCCCTACTTATACAGCTGGAGCCATGGGTCCTTCCCTATGTGCTCCTAGGCTCTCCTGGGAGTCCTGGTTGGTTGGGATCATTGCTCTTCCCATGGGGCCGCAAACCCTTTCAGCTCCTTCAGTCTTCTCTCTAACTCCTCCGTTGGGAACCCCATGATCAGTTCAATGGTTAGCTGTGAGCTTCCGCCTCTGAATATGTCAGACTCTGGCAGACTTCTAAGGAGGCAGTTATATCAGGCTCCTGTCAGCATGCACTTCCTGGCATCCACATCAGCGTCTACCTTTGGTGACTGCACATGGGATGGATACCGAGGTGGAACAGTCTCCAGACGGGCCCTCCTTCAGTTTCTGTCCCACACTTTATACCATTATCTAATGCAAAACAGATGGTTTATAGGATTCATTATATATGCATGTCCTGTGCCTTCATATGGAGATACTTTGTCTTCATATTTGCTCTCTTGAGTATTCTGTTATTCCTTCTAAGAAGGACCGAAGCACCCACACTTTGGTCTTCCTTCTTCATGAGCTTCATGTGGTCTGTGAGTTGCATCTTATGTATTCTGAGCTTCTGGGCTAATATTCAATTATCAGTGAGTGAATATAATGTGTGTTCTTTTGTGATTGGGTACCTCACTCAGGATGATATTTTCTAGTTCCATCCATTTACCTAAGAATTTCTTGAATTCATTGTTTTTAATAGCTGAGTAGTACTCCATTGTGAAAATGTACCACATGAAGGACATCTGGGTTCTTTCCAGCTTCTGGCTACTATAAATAAGGCTGCTATGAACAGAGTGGAGCATATGCCCAGGAGTGATATAGCTGGGTCCTCAGGTAATGCTATGTCCAATTTTCTGAGGAACTGCCAATCTGATTTCCAGAGTAGTTGCACCAGCTTACAATCCCACCAACAATGGAGGAGTGTTCCTTCAGATCTTTTTAACCATGTGACTTTCTGTTTCACATCATGAGCCTTCTACAGGTTGTCAAACAAAGGTATTTGACCTCAACTTCTTTATCTTCATTGAGTATTGTGAGAGACTAATAGAATGTTCCTTGGGAAACTATTATAATTAGAACATCAAGAATACCCTAAACAATGGAAAACTATGAAGAATTATGAAGATAAAGGGTAACTAAACACAGAACCTTAAGTATTTACCCAAGGACATAGACGTTCCCCACAAGAAAGTTCTGATCTTGTGAATAGAAGCTACCAGCAGCTGAAGAGTATCTGGTTTATAATGTGTCAACTGTTCAACAAAGATAACTAAAAGATTTCTGTGTTATATTAAGGACCAGAGAACATGTTTAAGGCTATTCTATAGTTCATACTTGGTGGTTCATTTGCATCAATCCATTATCAGTGACATTTTCAGACATTTAGTATTTTGATCTATCATCTTGTTCTCACGAAGTTCTCAAATATCTTTTAAAAAGATGTGTACTGGTTATCTGCCAGATTCTAATATAAGGAGAACCATCTTTATTCAAAATACATATAACTAATTGTATGTTATCCCACCCCTTACCTAGCAAACCAGTCCTTCTCTCATTTACAGAACTCTATGCTACTTAAGTAATTTTATATAAAATTTTGTGTTGATATAATAAAATGCAAATTTTCTTGACTGAAAGGCAAATTGACGAAATGAGGCAAACAACTAAGAAAGAACATAGAGAGAAATATGGCGCCATTTTGTACACTTGGTCAATAGTAAAAAATTCTGTAAAATATAGGAGGAATTCTTAATATTTATTCATTCATTTCTTTTCATTTATATACTTATTTTGAAATTTATATTCACGTATATATGTGTGTTTGTATGCACATACATATCAGGTGCCAAAGGAGGTCGGTCAGAAGAGAAATTAAGTTAGAGTTAAAGGTGGTTGTGGGCTGCCTGACATGGGCGCTAGGAGCCAAATTATGGTCCTCTACAAGACTGAGCGCTCTCAACTGCTGAACTATTTCACCAGCTCCTTATTCTTACTTTGCAATGGTCTTTACCTGGCTCAGAATCTCTCCTCACCACCCCCCAAGAAAATATTATAAATTACATAAGCTATCAGTGGCTTTTTAACTAAAATTTAGTCCTTGTTAGGATAGTCAATATAAAGTTGATACCTATTGGCGTATTCCTTGATGATCTGATATATGCTAATCTTAATTGTTTCGTTTTCAAATCGCTGGTTGCTCTTATCTTTATAAATCCGGAATTCAGCTGCCGTCACTGCTTCTCCGTGTGGAATCTGGGTCAGATCAAACCGAAATTCTTTGTAATGCCTTCTCTGATGAGAAAAGTCCTTGTCTCTTTCAACTGAAAAAAAAATTAAGGAATGAAGAAAAACGTTAGCTCCTTATAAAATATGGCAATCAATGATAAATTCTCCACCTTTAAAATGAGAACAAGCAGGATAGTATAAAACTGTGAAAACACTAAAACCACAGACTCATACGTGTTTCCAGCTAAAGGAAATTCCACAAACTAATAGCCTTTTGGTTCAAATGCAGTATAGCTGTCTGGTTTTATACAAATTCCGGGATCCTAAATGGAAAGACTATCCAAAGATGTTTTTTAAAGTGAAGGTTGTAAAGTGGTTGCCAATACTCATCAAGTACCAGAACATAGGTTTCATACAGGAATAAAAATGATGTTACAGAAGCCTGCAGAATTTCAAGTGAAGTCAGAGGAAAGAGGGAGCCACAGAGCAAAGGGGGAGGAGGGGGTCTGTAACACAGGATGTTATGTGGCATTTTTGTAGGCGAATAAATGAAGCAAGTTCTTTTTCTGATTTAAAACAAATTTTCTTTTAGCTGATCCATAAAAACAGAATTTACAGTCATGTGATGTTTCGACTGTGTAATTCTGAGGTATATGCTGTCAATGTTTCAATCAGGCTAAATACACGTGCTCTAATGGAGATCACTCCTTTACAGCAAAGCACTTACGTTCCTTCTTCCAGCTATATGAGCATATAGTAAACAACACTCATTCTTTCTTCTGTGGGACTGTGGACCAGAACAGTGTTCTCCACCTGACTGCAATGTATACCACAAGAAAGATCACTTCTGAAGTGACTTCCCCAGATGAGAACTGTTTGTTTGTTTGTTTGTTTGTTTGTTTGTTGTATGAAATCTCTTTCCTCTATTCTAAGGCTCTTTCATGGATGATTGCTCTGGTGAAGTGTAACATCTCCTGAGCTCTGTCCTCAGAGTGAAGTGAGAACCCAGTTCGCCCCTTTTAACTACCTTTATACCACATGAATAAAAAGATAGAGCTCTCCTCAGAATAGTAAAAAATTCTGAAGGATTTAGAACAATACATTTCAAATACATTGTAACATGATTTGACCTGGTGTTCTGGCAGTTTCTTTCTAGTGATTACCACAGCGTTCCTAATGAGATAATTACATAAAAGATTCATTTAGGGACATCCACTGTTACTTAATAGCTTAGTTTCACTGGTTTTTGAATTTTCAAAATCTTGATTACTTAAGGAATAATATGAGATAGTGTTATGAAAAAACTACTGTAATACACAATATCCAAGGCATTTTATAATGACCGTTAACAGTAATTTTAATGTTTTACAATGACTTGCTTCATTCCTAAAATTTTATTACAAAAAGGTTAAAAACATACATACACACATACATGCATACATACATACATACATACATACATGCATACATTCAAGTGCTAGACTTATAAATTTAAAAAATTGTGTTAGGGTACAAAAACCTCTTTGGATTAGTTGACATGATTCCGATACTATTGTAAGTATTAAGGATTTGGGGATCAGCTGGACAGTGGTGGCACATGCCTTTAATCCCAGCACTTGGGAGGCAGAGGCAGGCGGATTTCTGAGTTCGAGGCCAGCCTGGTCTACAGAGTGAGTTCCAGGACAGCCAGGGCTATACAGAGAAACTCTGTCTTGAAAAAAAAAAGAATTTGGGGATCAAAACTAGAGAAAGGTTTACAGTTGGTGGAAGGAGATCATGACTATCCAGTTATGACACTGAGGAACTGAAGCATCGAAATGTTTGTGCTCCAAAGCTAGATGCGAGCCACTTCCGAAACGAGTCATAACTAAGACACATAGCACTCCTTCTCTTCGTTATCCAAAAGAATCTTGTGTTTATTTTCCACCAAATTAGGTGATTTAGGAATTGAAGGGGCCTCTGCCTACCTGCAGCTCGGGCACTTGATTAAATTCCGAAAATAAGACGACGAGACTTAGAGCCACTCCTGTGCCCCGGAGCTTGCCTGAATGATGACTTTTGGCTATATAACTCGCACTAGTGCTACTTAACATTTAGTGAAGTGTGTTCTCTTAAAATATCATTATCTTACTCCTAACAAAGACCTGTGTTCAGAGGAAACAGGAGCGCTTCTCTAGATGAGGCAAATGAGGCTATTTTAGAAGGTTGTTTAGATTCGTACTTCCTGCCAGCGATTGTATAGACAGGGCGTTTCCCCACCTTCCTTCTGTCTACCCACTCCTGCCTGAGAACATGGCAGGTGTAATGGCAGAAAACGCCAGCTAACTGGGTGGCTAATCACTGAAAGTGCATTTCTGAATTTGACACAATTTTTGTTTTGAGAGAACTAAATTAAGCTAGCTGTATTATTATTTTCTTGTATATAGTTTAAATCAATGGATGGTGATACTGTACCTTGACAGTAGTTAGGTAGCGTTCATCTGGCATAAACTAATAACATTCTGCTGTGTGAAACCTCAACTCAGCTGATTTTCCTCGTTTTGAACATGGAGCAAACAAAGAGTACCATGAAACTCGTTTCCTCTGTGGTTACTAAATGCCAGGACCAACCTGATGCTTCATCGCATACACTATTATTTTTTTCTGTTTTATTAATATGGGAATAAAGTCTTAAATTAACAACTCTAAAGAATTTTGTAAAAGGAAGATTTGATTCAGCCTCATATGCTAACTAAACTGGAAGTCAACTGATATAAAATGCTTAAAGTTGCTACCTGTCCCAGTTTATCTAAATATTTATTGCTTTGCTATAGAAAGATAATCTATTTATCTAAGTAACCCCCTCCCAGACCCTATGTAAGTAGTTATATATATGATGATAAGCACCCATGAGACATTCACAAGTATGTTTACTCCATTCTACAAAGAGGCAATATCTAGTATTCTAAATTATAACAATCATTAATCAAATTTTATTAAAATTTAGGTCAAAACTCATACCATAATCCTAGATATGAAAGCTGATATGTGACCATCAAAGAATCCATTCTTAAGTATGCATTTCCAAACTGCAGATAATTTGTACGCATGTTAAATAAGCCATCTACTGTTCTAGAGTCTAGTCTGTTTATCCCTCTAGAAGACAAACATTCAGAGGATAATAAAATTTGTAGTAAGTATACCACACAGAATCAAGTTGCATGTAAATGTTTCTATCTTCACTGATCAGAACAGCAATAGAAATTCCAGGAGACAATGAAGCTAGTGATGGAAGAAGACCTATATATATGGACTTCAACACCAAATGATGCCCCTCAACAGGATAATTTAGGTTCCTGCAAAGAGTAATTCTAGAAAGGTAGCAAATATTAATACCTTTAAATTGAAAAGAAGAAATTGACTAATGACAACTAGGTAGTAACAAGCATCTGCCTTCCAAACATCACTCTACATCTTTCAGAAATCCAAGTAAAGACATCCAGCACTGCACATGTGTTGGATTTTCATTTTGTTGGATAATTTTATTTTGAATTGTAACTGCTTTCAATTTTAAAATAATGCATAACTCTCCAGCTGGATTTCTCCGTACTTCTAATTTCTTCATGAGATCCCTTTGAAAAATCGAAATCCCCAAAGTAGTTTTTTTAAAACAGAAGTATACATACAGTTAATATTCTCAAATGTAAGCCTCTTAAAGGCAAAGTCTTACCTCTTCATGTTGTGAAAATTCAGTAAATATTAAGCATTTTGATGGATTACAATGCACTGTATGTTAAATGGTTTGAAAAACTTGAAAAAGAAAAAGTAAGCAAGAGCAAATATTAGAAATTCTCATTCTGTTATTAGCTTTTATATTTGTACTACACTAAATGTTTTCTTTCATCTGCTCCTTCCTGTGCTTGTTGAATCAACTAAATGCAAAGTGTTGTCTCGACCATTCATCCTATCATTTTTAATAAAATCAAGTTTCACTGGAACAAAAAGATCAAATCACTATAAAATCCATAATCCTGTTTTGCTGAGGAAAAGTGTTTTCATCTATATAATCCCCTCCAAAGCTCAGGAAATATTAAAGAAGGTGTGGAAAGAATGTAAGATCACAACAATGACAGAAGGGGAGGGGAAAAAGAAGGGAAGGGCTAGGACACACATGACTTCTGCCATGTGCTTCTGTTGGTGCTGAGGGTTAGCAGAAGCAGAGGCAACTAAGGAAGAACACACTTCCAAGGAGACATCAAGCAGGAGCTTGGAGGAAGTTTGGAATCTCAAAGGCCCAGTTCATAAAATATTGGAACTTTTATAGGTCATTTGCATAGATATCTAAGCATATTCTATCTCTTACATATTGGCCTCTTGACTAGGGTTCCAGCCTTCTTTGCCAATAAGTACCTACCATAGGCCAGTTTTGAACACTATGCCTTTCTGGACCTTATTCTCTGCCTTATACTCTTCTGTCTAAATTCTAGCTTCCAAGACTTTACTGGATTGACAGTAACCACATTAAGGAACACAGACATTTTCCTAGCTCCTCCAGGATACCAGTGAATTGCAAGAATTAAATCACTGTGTGTTTTGTCTTCTTCAAGTCACTACAGAATAAAACTATGAATGCTGTGAGGATGTTTCACTCTTAAACACACAAAGATACACACAAAACTGGGCACTTTAACACCCTGTTCACGGCACCCTACCACTCCCTGAGGATTTATACAGCAAATGTAGGTTGATGACAAGAGAAATAGTTCCTTCACTGGAGAGATACCTACAATCCTGTAAACAAACTCTAACCTATAAGCTCCTTGCTCCTATAAACAACCTCAATTCCCTGATGAAACTCATTCGACCATTAGGTGAGTGGGAGAAAGAAAAAAAGACAAGAAAAGGGCTGGAGAGATGGCTATGTGGTTTACAGTGTTTGGGGGTTTTGTGGAGTTCAGTTCATACAACCATGTTGGGTAGTTCACAATTGTCTGTAACTTCAGCTACAGGGCATCAAGCCCTTCAGAGGTTTCTTCTGGCCTCAGAAAACACTACTTCCATACACAAACTCTCTCTCTCTCTCTCTCACACACACACACACACACACACATATATA